ACGACATTTATCAAACCTTAATTTTTTTTGTAATTAATTCCGAACAAATCTTATGCATTTATTCGTGGATTATGCAAATCTTTTTTTCACCCTAATTTAGTTATTGGAGAATTTAATCTACAGATTTTGTTGTGTTGATTCGTTTGTTAAGTAATAAATTAATCTATATTATATTTATATTAGATTCAAAATTAAAAAAAATGCTAAGGGTTGAGAAAAGAGATTGGTGGATAATTTTAGTTAAAATAAACAAGGATATTTTGGTAATTTTACAAAGACAAAAAGTAGAAAGGGTTCACAAATTAGAATAGTAGAGGTCACAAATTAGTTTTTTTTAAAAGATGTCAAAAATCCAGATGAGTTATATAATGGGGTTAGAAACCCCAATTTTCCAATTATGTCCTATTAAATGTACTCCAAATTTTCATGTGATCCACCTCCTAGCACGGTTTGCTAAGATGTCGACCACTTTTTGTTGCAATCTCTTGAAGGAAAAGATTTTTTCCAGCAATATAAATCAAGTAGATCAAAGTAGGAAAACTCATTTAAGGGTGTGTTTAGGAGTGATGTTGGTCTGTCATTGTCAAAATCAGTTTCCTTTCTATTGATGATGTTTGACAAATTAAAAAAATTGATTTTAGAAAAGCTTAAAATTAAAACAATACCCGTTTTAAAACCTAAGTTTTTCTATTAATTTTTTTGGTCAAAATCACTGAGAGAATCACACCCCTGACCAGGAATCACTTAAAGTGATTTTAATCGAATCCTTGCCAAACATTCTATTTTAAAATGAATGTGATTTTGGCACGAATAAAAGTGATTTTAGCCCCTTTGTCAATTCCGAAGATGATTCTTCTTTGCCGATATTCATTGCCAATTTATATCCACCTTTGGTCTAGTAGACTCCTCTCTTGTCATAGTACCGAAAGAAGTTGTCTTGGGTGGTTTCTTTTAAATGTTTGATTTTAATCACTACCAACAGCCTCCATGAAATTGCTAATGCTAATAAGAACTAGGATTAGTCGTTTAATATCAATTTGGTGACACAAATAGCATAGTCAAAAAGAAGCTATTAGATTTATGTCAATTTATTATTGAGATCACGAGAAGTTAGTAAACTCATGTCAATTTATCGTCAAAGTTACTCAAACATAATTCAACTAATTAAAGCAATAGTAATCTCTCTTACCGATTGAAGAAATTACCGATTGAAGAAATCCACGCTCCCGCATTTTTAATGTTATCTTCTCAACAAAACTAACACAATTTCATTAAAATAATAATAATAATAATAATAATAATAATAATAATAATAATAATAATAAATAAAGGATTAAACCCACTCTTAGACATATATATATTCATATTTGAAAATATAGACATATATATATTTTTTTTCATTCTTCCTTAAGATAAAACATACCTGGTGAAAAAACCTCGAAGCATGGGCGGTAGGTACAATTATACCAAAATGAATGCAATAGGCCATTAAGAAAATATGCAACAGTTAATTATTTTCATTTGCCAAAGTATATTGAAATGATTGCAATTAATCATCTAATTACAAATAATAAGTAAATAAATAAACAACAATAAATTAATTAAATTCAATAATTTCTTACCCAATTTTGTTCTCTGATACAATTTATAATATTTTCCAAATCTTTATAATTAGGTTTCGAAACAGAGCGGGCAGGGACGAGGGCATTCCCCATCCCCAGACCGCTAGGACAAAATGTCCCCATCCCCACCCTTGCAATTTGGGAGCAGGGGCGGAGAATTTCCATTCTACACCCCGTTACATTCTTTCTTTAATTGTTCCTTTTTTCTCATTTAATGGGTTCGATATGAGTTTGAGTTCGGACGCTAACCCCTTCCCGATCAAAGACCTAACCTAGGTAGAAGTCACAATTTAATCCCTTGCCCAGTCAAATTGAGGATTTCCAGTTCTTGGATCATAGTTTAGGTTTGTTTCGCGTGCTTTTGCGTAAAAATTATCATGTTGAAATTTGGTGGTAATTCAAAAGTAACAGGATAGTTTTTGTCAAGCACCTCCTACTGAACTCCTAAACACCCCGTCCTAATTATTATATAAATTATTTATTCACTGTCATAATAAAAATTAGAACCAATATAAACTTAACTCAATGGTAATTAACATCTGTCTCCCCAATCAGAAGGGATGAATTCGAATCTCCCCTATCAATTGTACTAGAAAAAGAAAAACAAAATCAAACAAACAAGTGAGAGAGAGAAGCATGACCCGGCTCTAGCTCAGCAAATATTTATTTATTAATATATCAAACCCACTATCAAAACAATAGATAATTCTTAACTCTCATATCAATACCAACAAACCGACCACTACAAAATGTCGCATGTAATCATTACAGTGGCACAATTTGAATTTTTTTTTCTTTTTCTTTTCTTTCTTTTCTTGTCTATCCTCAACTAAAGATATTAAAGACAAACAAACCATATCTAATACTACGCATCTGGACTGCCGGAGGATTTATGGATTAGGAAAAATGACAAAAAAGCAAAAGCAAAGTCAATACTTTCTTACTCTGGAGGAGTCAACATCTGTGTTGCACGCGTCCAAAAGAACGTCATGGAGTTTCCTTTCCGCACAGATTCTTTGTATAAAACACAGCGCCCAAATGTTTGTTTGAAAAGGGCAAGTTAACAGCCTCCAAATGGCAGCCAAATGCAGCAGAAGAAATCATGAAAAATCGGACTCATAGAGAAATGGGAAGATGAGATGGGCACTGTGTATTTAATACCCGACCACAAATCTAGTCTGGGAATCCAAGAAATCTTTGGTTTGCTTCAGAACCTTGGCTCGTTCTTCCACAACCCTCTCCTTCCAGTACTCTCTACACCTGAAAAGGAGTGTTCAAATCAGCCCGTTTAATAACCATTTCGTTTCTTTATTTTTTAAGCTTAGAAATATTACTTTAGGCTAACTCAATGAAAACGTTAGCATTCTGTTAATAGAGTTAATGGCCCAGCATGATTCAAGATTCAGTTAGTTCAAGAACTAGATATGCATGTCCAGTTCCACCATGTGATGTGACTAGAAATGATGTGAAGGAAAGAGGATCTGAATTTCCAAACCTTCTTTTCAATAGCATGTCCAGTTCCACCATGTGCAGAGCTTTAGGATACACCCCAGTCTGCAATAGAGACAAATAACAGTCAAAAGAGTGTGTGATTTTGCTGTAATATGGGACTGGCATTTCATCTGCAGTTGACAATGCTGCCGCTATTACAACTTGATTCTTTGACTAAATTTAACTTGTAAAATTTCACAGAGCAAATGTCTCACCACATAAATGTTATGTTGATCGGAAGTTGAACATTTAAAAAGGATGAACTTCTTAAAACCACGTCTAGGTAGTAGAGAGAACAAGAAAAAGAGAACTTAGACTTCAACCAAATATGAAATCTATCAACACAAAAAGGGAAATGTGTAGTGGCCTTCCAAATGTTGAACATTAGAAACATGAAAACAAACTCTTAGATACCGGAAAACACAGAATTTGGGAGCAGATACATTATAAGCATCACGTGGAATTCTTGCCAAGAGATAAAAGAGAAATATTTCGAAGTAAACAGAGCAGAATAAATCGATGTTTCTTGGTTTTAATTATTCTTCCAAGGAAAATATCTTGCCCTGGACCTCTCCCTCATATACTTCTCTGTCCATATAAATATGCAAGTGTTTCTCAATTTTGGGGGAAAAACAGCTGAAAGGATAGTGACTGATGGGCATGTAAATACCAAGATGTTAAACACCCCCATAAAACTAGCATCGGTTGGCATGTTTTCATTGGAAAAATAGCATAAAGATGACTAGTAAGCATGTCAATAGCAAGATCTTGAAAGCAAACAAGCATCAAGTGGAGATGTTTTAGCTAGGAAGAATTCAAAACATGGTTTGATGCTATAGAGAATAGATGTATGAAGTCAGAAAAGAACATTGGATAAGGGCCCAAGGCATTCCATTCGTTAAATATCCCAAAAAGTCCTGCATCAATCCAGTCCATGACATTTAATTTTCTCTAAAATGTCTTTTTCTCAAGATTTTCAAATCTCGACGGCTAATAGAGAATAATATAACTGCTTCAAACACAAACCTCTCTACAAACTGCGCATTTTGACTCCTGGCTGGCAGCCTTCGGTCCATCACAGATCATCACAGAAGCAGCCAAACAAGCACATGATTTGCAGAAAAGATGCCCACAACTCAAAGCATATGGATCAAACAGAGTCTCCTGTAACATCATAAAATTCAAGCCTTATCAGATAAACTCCACGCACAGAATGCCACCCCTCTGGAATCTGGATTACAACCAAAGTAGGAACTTTACCAAGCAAATAGGGCATGTAAGATCATATTCAATCTTTATAGAATGTGGAAGCATCAAAGTCATAGTCGGTGTCACATCGACATCAACAGAAAAGTGAGTGGATAATTCTGTGGGGTGATTTCCACTGTCTGGTCCTTTAAAATTCAGACAAAAAGCACCCAATTCTACGAGCAAGGGAGATTGCAAAAGCTCCAATTGTTCAGCTCGCATTTTCAACTTAAACTTCTTTCCGTTTACAGAGCTATGTACCTATAGTCGATTAATTAAACACACAAAGATTATGTTCTTATATTGAAACTAACAAACTCAAATAGACAAGTTTTCAAATGATTTAGGCTGAAGCTCACCTTATCGTATTTCTTAAGAATTTTTCTGATAGCAATAGCATTCATTGTAACATATTCAATCAGCAAGCGGCCTTCTTGTATCATTGTTGGTTGCTCATTTTTAAAGCATTGACAAAATCGCACCAAGTATCTCTCAATTCCGCTAGCAACATGAAGATGAAGAAGATGTCTGACTCTTGTGCTGAAACACCCCGCAATATCCGTGGCTTCCCTCATCAACTCCGTAAAGAACAACTGATCACACACTGCAAAAAGTCGAAAGATTCCCAATAGAATGGCATAGCGCACAATTTATCATAACCAAAATAATTTAATTTTAATTTAATTTCAGTGTCCAACAACAGAACAGAGAACCAGCTAAGAATTCAGGAGCAGATGATGTCAATGGTATAAACAAATCAATAACAATCTTACGAGGGCAAGACTTGCATTCACATTCATTCGTGTAAGAATTATTAAGCCTGCAAGTCCGACAGCTCTTAAGAACTTTCTTCAGCCGCTTGTATTCAACATGCGAGCATTTATCCAAGAACCATTCTTGATCTCCGTGCAGATACTCCATGAACGTGTCTCCGAATTTCATCTTCTATATCCGAATCGACAAATTTAAAAAAAACAAAACCCTAAAACACCTGAAATCCCGATGCAGAAAGACGCGTAATCAGCGATACAAACACGAAAAAAGAGAGAAATCTGGCAAAAAAATCACCATTCCATATACAAATAACCTCATCCAGAGTTCAATAAAATCATAAAAACTTGCTTCGGCTCACCTCACCTCACCTTAAACTGCCAAAAGGGGGAAGAAAAATCCTCCTCCGATCCTCTTTAATTATGCGCTTTTTTCTTGAATCCTTCTCTTCAACCAAAGGGAGAACGAGGAATCCGGGCAAATGGAGAGAGGAGAACAAAAATCTTCGAGAGAAGGTGGAAGAGCGCGGTGAAATTATGGCGTATAAAACGAGAGGTGGTTTTGAAAATGGGAGCGATGGCGCGCACTTTCCGGCAATTTCAGGGGTTCCCGTAATGGCGGCTGCTGCATGCAGGAGTGCGGGTTCCATTCCATGTATAAGCTATTTTTTCCCACTCACTTTATTCATGGTGGTGGGAGGTTGAAGAAATTCAATTCCACTTTCTTTTTTAATAAAATAATAGTACATATTCTTCGTTTGTTAAATTACAAGTTAGTCCTTCAACGTAATTTTATTACCTCCTTGACGATGAAAATTTGACAATTTTACTAAAGACTTTCAAAATTTTGTCCTTGTCACTATCGAAATTTTGACAATTTATTCTGTTTAAAGAAAAATGTTTGTTTTTGTATTTTTCTCTCCCAGTGGTCAAAGTAGCGATGCCAAGATTTCTCAATCCATTGTGAAACTAAAGGTACAGAGTACTTTGTTTATTATGACAAATGTGGAAATGGAAATGAGAAATTAAAAACAAATATCTTTCTCGATAAATAATTTGGTTATATAATCATTTTAAAAAAATCAATTTGATTGACTATAACTCACTTTATCGTAATTTGGCATTTGTATAATCAATTTTATATAAAGTTCAGTCAAATACATTTATGTTAAAAGGCCACCCACAAGGGATTGTAACCAAATACACAAATATTTTAATTAAAATAATTTAAAGAAAGTGTTTAGAGAAAGAAACTTGTTTTTTTAGTTATTCAATTAAAGTGCAAGACAAACTCATAAGTTTTTAAGTTTTCAATTTTGTATTTACTAGATCACTAAATTCTAAAGTATATGATATTTAAACATTTAATGTTGTGTTTAATAAATCTTTATTCGACATTTTATAAAACTAATGACTTATTAGTTAGAGACATGATTACCGGTAAACTAAGCTAAGGTTCAAAATTTATAGATTTGTTAGATATAAACTTTATTTTTATGTCGGTTAAATTTATAAACTTTGAATTTTGTGTTTTAAGAGGTAGGTAAAATTTAAAAAATATTAATAAATTAATTTGTGCATATTAGACCCTTTTATGGGTCTATTAGGTTACAATATACGATAATAACAATAATTCAAAATTTTGGGTTTACCCTCAAAATATAAGGTTTGAATTCGATTCATGATTGTTTGTTTGTTACTTTTAGAATTTGACAGCTTTCTTTACGAAAGAAACACAGCACGGACATGTCACGTGGCTCCCCCATCCCGCATGGTGCCACGTGGAATTTCCTGAATAACGAGGGATTAACTTCTTTTTCTGTACTTTACTTGTAAAAATCTACGTGCCAATAAATAGTAAAAAGTTTATTCCCATTGGATGGACTTGGATCAGATGGAATGAATTCCTTTGAAAATATCTCATTTTCGCTATTTTAAGGATGTTAGGTCAAAAGCTTCAGTTAGGGACGTTGAATGGGTTGAAAGTAATAATTAAAGATGTCAAAATTATTTATATTTAGAGATGACAAATTGGAAGTTTGACCGCTTAAATTAAAGGCGCGGGATAGATTAAAAACTTAAATTAGAAACGTCAAAATTATTTATAGAGATGACATGTTGTAACTTTGACTTAAATGTGTCGGAATACTTAAATGTATCGGAATTCTTTATAAAGACTAGTCCGTAGGGATCGCTTCACTTATTTAATTTTAGGGATGTGAATGAAAAATTTATTATCATCCTATTAGTTTGTTAGAGTAATTTGTTTCACATCATTTTTTTTTTAATTCATAAAGTATAAATGAGATGCGAAGTTTACTTTTGGAAAGTAAGTATGATTTCACTTTCTATGTGAGTAGACAATTTTGTTGAAAATGTAACGTACTTTTTAAACAACATGAAAAGTATTATTATTAAAATACATAATAATAAAAAAATCATAGTTCCTATAAAAATAATGAACTCACATGCTACATATAAATTTGGCTACAAAATACAAAACTTATTAACATAAACTTCTTACTCAAAATACTCTCTGAAAAGATATCCCATTCAACGATACTCAACGATTTTAGGTCATGTTTACTTACTCCGAATCGGAATCGGAATGAATCATAATGAAAATCAAATAAATCGAAATGATAATGTTATTCATTTGATGTTGTTTACCATAAATTTTCTGGAATCGAAATCATAATTCTTTGATGTTGTTTACTAAAACTGTCTGGAATCGAAATCGAAATCATGTACCATTATATTCTTTATAGTGAATCACAAATGCATTATTGTGTTAATTTTTTTTAAAATTATAGTAATAATAAATTTTAATTTGTGATACTATATTATTGATCGTAAATTTTTTTTATTATAACAATTTATTTAATATTAATAAATAATGAATAATTAAAATAAAATTACATCACTAAAATACCTTTTTATTACAAAAACCATCCTTTAATATAAAATATTATTATTATTATTGTTCTAATATTTAATAATAATCAAATATATTTTATAAAATCTATTGATATTAATTAATAATAAAAAGTTAAATTAAAAAATTAAAACTAAATATATTTTATAATAAAATCACACCCACTAATAAAAAACTATTAGTAGTATAAATGAAAAATAAATAATAATTAATTAAAAAGTTATCAGTCTCAAACGAAAGATAAAAAAGGTAAAAAGCTTTTAAAATAGCTATAGTAAATATGTAAAACGTATGAAATATGGAATGTGAATGAGATGGATGGAGGGGTAGGAAAGGAATAAAATTACACATTTTTAGATAATAGGATTACCAAGGTCCTCTCTTTTTACTCTGATTTATTATTTAATTACTGGACTGGTGCCAATTACGTTGAGCTAAACTCACGTTTTGACCGTAATTATTGATATTATTATTTAGATGATTGTATATAAAAAGTTGGTAAGTAAAATTTTGCTCTCCTCCATGCGAACTTTCATGGCTCCAACCCAGATTACATTTATAATTTACGAGAAATATCGGATTGATTATTTTATGTGATTATTTTATGTAAGGATAATTTTATTTTCATAAACCATATCAAACTACTAAATGAAAAATGAGTTAAATAACAAATTTGCCTAAACTTTAAGATTTAGTTTATTATGTCAATGTAATATTTTTTTTGACATTTAATTTTGTGTCTTATAAATTCATAATGTCAACTCAATCGATTTAACACTTGCGTGTCTATTATCTAACAAGGATATGATGAGCTAATTTAAAAAAATTCAAATATTTAATAGCATAAATATTGAATTAACGAAGTTAATGTAGGACATATTAGAAATGTAAATAGAAGCTCAAAAACTTATTAAGGCTTTCAAACGTATAAAAATTAAATTGATACAACTTTAAAAGTTGGAAGGCCTGTTACGACATTTTTTAAAACGATGAATGTTCATCTAATTTATAAAGAATTTGAGTAATTGACATTTTTGTCCTAAAATTTTGGTTGGAATCATGTTTTGTCCATTAGGGTGTGCCACCATTTCCTTCTTTTATTTATTTTTTCTTTTTTACTCAAAAGTGGATATCGTTTGGTCCCACTGTACGATTATCTATCTCCTAATTCAATGACATAAGGTAGTTCAAAAGAAACGAGAAATTCTCAATTACCTGTTGTCATGTAGGTGGAACAACCGTCAAGTGAAGTTGAAGCAATAGAGAAAAACGATGCATTGGAGGCAAATTACCACCTGCCACGTGTCAAATCAGAAAGTATGTTCTCAATGACAATAAGAAGAAATAAAAAGAAGAGCAATATATAATCATCCGACCAACCTTCAACAAGTACGAGCCAACCTTGAAAAGCACCTGCAGACAGTGTAAAGAGAACAAAGATATTCTCCGACAAGGCGTCACGTTTCTCGGGCGATTAGAGTGCTGTCGAAAGTTTTGTTGAGTGCTCGCTCCTATAAATAGAGATCTCCGCCTCTCACACAAAATACGTGAAACTATATTATATCTATCGAGTATAGATCGGATTATACTGACTAGAGCATCAAAGTGTTAATTCTATTTTGCAAGTAATTCGTACGTCAGTGCCTCGAATCCAAGTTTCACGAATATGAGCTTAATCATTTTTCCAATCAAACACAATGAATTTTCATTTTAATTTCAAAACAAATCGAGTAATTGACATTTTTGTCCCAAAATTTTTGTTGGATTCATATTTTGTCCATTAGGGCCCGCAATATTTCGCAATTTGCAAAAAAGGGCCACCATTTCCTTTTTGTCTTTGTCCTTTTTTTAATCAAAAGTGGAGATCGTTGGGTCCCACCGTACGATCATCTCTCTCTTGGCTCAGTTACACAGGTGAGTTCGGAAGAAACGACGAACGCCCACTGACCAGTTGCCACGTAGGTGGAACAGCCGTCAAGCGAAGCTGAAGCAACACACGTGGAGCATGATGATTGGGCATTTGGAGGACGTGGTGCACTGTGACAGTGTTTTTAGAAGTTTCTCCCATTAAAGGAAAATCGCATTGATTTTTTTTGCCGGCGTATCTGATTCCCTCCTCCGACCTGAAAGGTACCATCTGAAAGCATTGGACGCGATGCTTCCACCACTCACTTTTTTTTTAAATAAATAAATCATTTTAATTGTTATTGTTATTAACTTATTTTCATATGAACATTTATAAACAGTAAAAATTAAAAAAATAATGTTTGAAAATGATTTTTTAAATAAAAGACATGACTTATGTTTTAAGCATTCTAGTTTAAAAGATTGTACAAAGTTACCTTTATTTTAAGGTGTGTTTATAAATGCTTCTAAAATTACTGATTATTGCAAAAATAGTAAAAAGTGTTTAACAATAAAGTCACTTTTGATGGTTTTTTTTTCTAATACTCTTAAAAGTATATTTTAGCGTTTTTCCACAATGAATGTGGTCAAAAGTACTCTACGACTACAAGTAATTTCTCATAAAATACTTCGAGATTATTTTGACTTCTTCATACAAATTTGACAAAGATCCATCTATATTATATACAAAAGACACGATAGAGATAAATTTAAGAATATGTGTTAAGTTGTTTATTCTTGTTTGTTGTATTTTACTTATGAAAAATTTTAAAGTTATTGATCCTTCCTCAATTTTGTTTAGTCATTGAGTTGACCGACTAGACCAGTAGGTGATAGGATTTACTACAACTTCAATTTGTATAAATAGACAATACAAAAGAATTGGTGATGTAAATATAGAGAAAAATTAAACATGTTAACAATTTTAACAATTTAATTTTTTTTATTAATTTAGTTTTTTTAACTATTTAATTAATTTTGATGTTTTTTAGACTTTAAAATAAAACTATGAAATCCACGTGGACATGTTACTTACTAGTAACAATAAAGGTTGAGTCACGGAGGTTGTTTGTTAAAATAAATGGTGGTTGAAACAAACAAAATGTCACACTAAACCAAATCAAGACAAATGTGTGTCAATGGTCATGGATGTGGGATTCTCGTAACAATACATAGTTAAACAAATGCGTATAGTATGATAATTGGCTAATTTAATCCAAACTATCTCAGCTTATGTGTAAGGAACCAGTTTATTATAGGATGTGGAGCTTGAACCTCCTTTAACTTTGAAGCTACATAGAACCCTGATAAGGTTATCATTTTTTTTCTCATTTTTAATTTTATTAAAAAACTTAATCATTTCACAACTATTGATGTTTCTTGCTTCACATGTTTTTTGAAATATTCTCAAAATTGTATATAAATATTAGAAAAAAAAAGTTCATGGTTTATTATTTTCGTTTCAAATTTATTCCAAAATATAAATAAAAATATTGTTTTATCATTATTGAATTGATGAAGAATTTGTTTATAAAAATAACGTTATTCAACGAGCTCTTAGTGTTAGTGACTTTCAATGTCATATGAATTTCCATTATGAAGTGCAATATTCCTTTTATATATTACATATGAGTGGAATTTGATTTGAACTCACGAAACTTTTAATCGAAAATATATTCTTTAACCAATTCAACCAACACTCGAGTTTGATATTCAACGGATGATAGAGATTAAAAAATAAGATAGTCGTTGAATAAGTTTTGTAAATATAATATAAAAAATAAAATAAAATATATATATAATTTAAACCTTTTATAAATTTGAGAACAACATCAGTGACCCGAAACGACATGGGAAACAAATTTATAAACTGCGAAACGACAACCGACAAGTGGGAGAAAAAAAGAGAGAGAAATACGTTAGAAAAAAAAGGAAATAAATAATAATAGAAACAAAAGGTTCCCAAAAGTTTTATACGCCGCATTTGGCATTCACAATCAGCATCCATCCGTCGGGTGGGGTTAGCCTTTTGTACTGGGACCCACTAAGGAGTCAAAATCATGGCCGTTGCACTATATGTGGGCCCCACATCTCTTTTTTTTTAAATTAACATTATTATCTCAAATTATAATTACCCCTTCTAAATTTTAAATCGCAAAAATTAAACTTTAAGATATTATAAATATAAAGTATTTTCTAGTAAAAATTAAACTTAAATTTTTTTTAAAAAGATATATATTTTAAGTATTTTCGGAATTGAAAGTCCCAAAATCAGAGACTATTTCTCCATTTTTCATCTCTCGAATCCTTCATTTCCCACTGAACAACACCTAGTCTGATTTTTCATTGATTTCAAGGCTTTGCCTTTCACGAAGGGCAGACCTTTAGTCCTTTGGAGAGCAGTACTCATTGATGCCGCCTCGAGTTGGTGTTTGAGTTAGATTGACTTGCTTGATTTTAAAGCTCTGTGTTGCCAAGTCGGTGGTCGAATTTACAGCAAATTCATTCCTCTGGTTCCTTCACGAGGAAAATTCTTTTTATTTTATTTTTGATGTTTGGGATGCGGATGAGTAGGTTCCTGATAGCAAGCAACTATGCCTGTGGAGGTGCCAACTCTCATCGTAGTTGTAAATTGGACGAATGCATGAACTATTGAAATTTTAGAAGGCATAATTTTATCACTTAAAAGTTTAATTCTTACCATTGAACGTAGTCTAATTTTTCATTTATAAAAATTTTAAAATTTAATTTTTATAATTAAAAGTTCAGAGATAACAAACAACTACCGTATTTTAAGGTAGTTTTTACAATTTGCTCTTATTTTTGTAAATTCACTTTCAGTTTTCACCAGCACAGCCGGAGCCAGGTAGAGGCGGAGGAGATTCGCCGGGCCCACCACTCTCCGTATTTCTGTTCGTAAAAACTGTCATGCATTATTGCAAGGGATATTATGGCTGTCCTTTTCGTTTTTATTTTTATTTTTATACATTTGATGTCCAAAATTTTAAAATTATGTCCATTTAATATTTACATTTTAAAAAATTGAAAAAATTATAATAAATCCACGAATTTGCTAACTCTATTAATTTAACGTTTACGTGACAAATATATATCAAACACAATTTAGACTCTGTATATATGGAATGGATAGATGCAATTAAATTACGAAATTCAAGGATTTGTTATAACTTTTTTAAGTATAAAGAGACCAATCTAAAATGAGATGAACCAAACACATAATTTAACATGATATTTATTTTTGTTGAAATATTGTATAGGTTTATAAAGCTACATATTTGCAAGACCACACATAATAGACTATTCCAATAAGTTGATTTGTGTACATCACTAATGAACATCGTTTTGAATAAGTTATGATTCGTTTGACGTTTTTGTTTCTCGTTTCCAATTTTTAAAAAACATAAGTGTTTATTAATTTGTTTGTATTTCTCCCTTCTTATTTTTAAGAAGTGTTTTTAAAATTGTGTATAAATTTTAAAAACAATAAAATAAAGTTTATTGTTTATGTTTCAAGTGTTTTTTTTTTCAAAACATAAATAAAAACTTTATTTTATTATTGACTTGTAAAATATATAATAAATGTCAAAAAGTAACTATAACATGCAATTTTTTTTTGACGGCATAACATGCATGCAAAATTTGAATATTAATGTTAAAGATAAAATTTCATATAAAAAATGTATTTTATCAATTTAAAATGTTAGGTAACGAAGAACAATAAATGACTATCAAATAGGTTTATGTCTTTTTTCGACTAAAAAAGACCAAGAAACAAACAAGGTTTTAAATGTTCGATGGACATGTACATGTCTCAATTTTATAGAAACGTGATGGAAATATCAATAAAATATCAATATTGAGGGATATTTATGAAAAAATTATAAAAGTTATAAAAATATTTAAATTAATTTTAAAATAAGTTTTAAATTCTTATTATCAATACTAATATTTCACACCGGTAATATTTTGTTGATGTATTTTCTTTGTATATTTTGTTAATTTTTTTCAATACTATAGAAATATCGATTTACCATTTATGTTGAGATGTCGAACCTATGGACACATCAACAAAAATTTAAATCCATAGAAACAAAAAAACGAGCTACCAAAACACATGCATATATTTTTATTTAATAAAAGTAAAAACAAAAAACATAAATAATGTTACCAAAATGACCCTTAATTTTTTATTTGGATCAATCTGATCACAAATAATAGCTCAAAAGTACTATGAGCCACTGACCATGTCCTAGTTTCTTATCTGTCAAACAAAATAATTTTTTATTTGAGTGAAATCGTAGACAAATGAGTCATATACGTACTGGGACTTGTACTTGTAGACATAATTGATAATAACCATGTATTTTGGTCAAACAAGTTTAAGGGTTGGAACTCGGAAAATTAATGAAATTGGCTGATGCTAGATTCTAGACGTGTCGACTTGGACGGTTGTTGCTTTATTCATTCAAAAGATGTTCCTGCACATCATAACATAGCAACGAATCAAAATCACTCTTAAACTTAAGTTAGTATAGAATAAAATGGTGAGCTAAAAGTTGGTCAAAGATATTTTGACCATCCTTATGAGGGACATTTAGGGAAGTGAACTAAGGTGGTCAGAGTGCGTACTTGTCATTAAAAGGATCTCGTGCTGGCATATGTTGAGGATATCTAACAGCAGAATCATCATTACGTCCAATGTCAGCAGATATCCCATGGGACGAACTCTGCTCGAGGAAGGACGAGCTAACATACTTGTCGTGTGATGTTGGTCTTTCCTCCTCGGCTCAATAAACCCGAACTCAACTCAAGCTCGAGTCCACGTGTTATCATGGAGTGGTCCATGTGTCGCTATTATATTTTACCCATATCAACATTATACACAAAAAGAAGTAAGATCATGTTCAATAACTTGTTTTAATTTTTTTTCTTGTTTGAAAATGTGAGCGAAAGGAAAAAGAAGTAAGATCATTTCAATAATTTGTTTTGAACATTTTTCTTGTTTGAAAATTTGAGTGAAATGAGTAGAAAATTGAATGCGCATGGAACGAATGGATAAAGATAATATGAAAAAGTCAAACACGAAAGTCTCGTTCGTCCATTTTTAGAAATTAGTTATAAATATTTGAATAGAATTAATTATATATAATAATAGCAACAACGACAAAAAGGAAACTTATATTTTAAAATAAGTGCTATTTTTATTTATTTCATAATTTATAATATAATACAAGTCCAAAATGGTTCGAGACGTGATTAGAAATATAAATAAAGTCTCGCATTAATTAGGAAAATAAGTGATCAGCGGTATATGAGAGAAGACAATTATCTAATTGGATAAAACGAGATCTTTTAAGTAAAATCAAAAATAAAATCACGAACATTATATCCAAAAGGAACAATAACAATATCAGATACTTAGGGACGCTCAGATTTTCTCCGTATTTACTAAATCATGAAATCAAATCCCGACTCAACCCCTCACCCTGCCTGTACCACAACCACTCATTATCCCTTACCAACCACCTTCCGTCTACAATCTGGATAAAGTCCCTTGGAATTAAGAAAAAAGATACGGAGAAGAGAGAAAGGAAAAGGGAAGGAAAATACTGATGCTTTTCTCAAGGCAATCGGAATAGATCAAATTTAGAATTTTAAAATTATATAAAAAGAAAACAAATTATATCCATTGGGACCAAATAAAGAGAACCAAGTGCATTTCACTCGAACTAAAGGACAAAAAATTGTTCCCACATCTTAAAAAAAAATTCTCAACTTTATTATTATCATTTTTTTAAACGCAGAAAGCTGTCATATTTTTCGAACGGGACGGAGCATCCGCTTCTATACAATTCAGAATTCAGACTTCCCAACTTGTTCTTCAATTTATTTTATAATATAATCTCAATGCTCTTCCTTTTTCTTCATTAATGGCGTACGCATTCAATTCCCTTTTTTAATAATTCCCTGAAACTCCCCTGAATTTTCCTCTGCAAAAACCTCCACGCCATTGAAGCAGACCCAATTTCTGAACTCTCTCTGTTTTCCTTCTCTTGTCAAAAATGGCTCAGCCGCCATTGAAGCAGCTCACCACCATCTGTACATCGAAGCCTGCTCCATTAACGACCTTTCTCTTCATCATCATCATCTGCCTTCTGGGTTTTTACACATTACATTTCTCGACCTCGTCGCTCTCTGCAACTTCGAGTCCGCGAAATTCCCTCCGGTTTCAGCAGCTCTTTCTTTCATCGGCTTCGAACTACACCGTCGCGTCCTATCTCC